CGTCATAGGAGAGCGCAAGTTTGGCGGCAACGCGCAGGCCATCACCAGCCGCCGCTGGCTGCACCACACCTCGTTCCTGTGGGACTTTGACGACTGCAACATGGCCCTCCTCACCAACCCCGCCAAGCAGCCAGAGTATCGGCAGGTGGGGCGCGGGCAGGCACTGGTGCGTTCGTGCATGTGTGCATGTGTGTGTGTGTGTGGATGTGTGTGTGTGGATGTGTGTGTGTGGATGTGTGTGTGTGTGTTTGGGGGTGGAGAGGGATGTCGTCCTGCGGCGCCAAGGAGTGCGCATGGGCAGAGGGCATGTTGGACAGCAGCACAGGTATACTCACACTCACTTGGCCACGTCTCAGCCCAGCTCAGCTCAGCCCAGCCGGGCACATATCGTAGCACAGACCAGCCGCCGCCCCACACGCGTGCACACCCGGGCGCAAATCAATGCACCGCCGAAACAACCCCCCGCAGCGCCGCGACCACCGCGACTTCCTGTTACGACTAAAGGACCTGCTGCCCAGCCGCGGCCAGCTGTTGGAAGACGTGGAGGCGGCCGTCGCGGGCGAGGGCCTGCGGCTGGAGGACAGCAGCTGGGAGGAAGCTGCCGCGGCACTGGGGGGCGAGTACCTGCGGCAGAACAGGATCGTCGACGTGGCAGCGGCGCTGGCGCAGCAGCGGGAGGAGGAGAGGGGGGCGGAGGCGGCGGCTGCCGCTGCGGCGGCCGCAGTTGGGGGCTGATTTTGAGACGCGTTACCCCGCAGCTGTGCAGCATGTGTTTTGTGTCAAGACGCTGTGCCAAGAAGGGCCTTCAGGTGTATATTTGGGTGTAGGACAGGGCCCCGATCAGAGGTTCAAAATGAGGTCCTGAAAGGCCTTGTCTTGGCCACCACCCCCTTGTGCATTTTGCCGCGTCGCTGTGTGCATTGGGATTTTGTAAAGAATGAGCTACGCAACGCGTTTGTAAGTTGTTGTCAGTGCACCACGCCCCGCCTCTGCTGCCGCGTTTGTTGAGGCTCCTTGTCAATGGGCCGCGGCTGTGACGCCACCCGCCCTCGCAAGCCGAGACTCCTTCACCACAGGCGCCTTGAACGCGGCTGCAGCTCCCTGCCCATATGCCCCAGCTTGCCGCGCCGCCACGGCCGCCTGCGCGTGAGCAGCAGCGGGCTCGGCCTTGGGAACGCTCCGGCCCCCGCCGCCGCCGCTGCTGCCGCTGCCGTTGCCTGCGCCGCAGCGCCTGGCCGAGCTGCCGCCGCCTCCGCCCCAGCCGTTGCTGCTGCTGCTGTCTCTGCTGCAGTAGCTGGTTGCGCAGTCGCCCCTGGCACCGTGCTCGCATGTGCCCAAGCTGCTGTGTCTGCCTGATCACCTCCCAGTGCCGCTGCTGGCCTGGACGGCACCGCCGCTCCCACCCCCGACACCGCTGCCCCTGCAACCACCGCAGGCGCAACCATTGTCGCGCCCGCCGCCGCAACAGGCCCGCCGCCCCGCGGCCAACCCCCGGCTGCTGCTTCGGTCGCGTCCGCCGCATCTGCAGGGACAGCTGCGGCGCCTGCTGCCGGGTCGTGAGCGGCGGTGCGGACGAACTTAAGGGCTGACCACAGTACGCCCTTCGCCACTGGGCACGTGGCGTGGCCGCTGTAGGGGTCCTGTGGTGACGTCAAGCACAGGGGGCGCAGTGGCACGCGCATTCATGTGAGCGACGTGCGGGCTGGGGTGCGACTGTCGGCGCTGTAAGGGCGGCGGAGGGCCGGCGCTGTCCTGGGAGTCCGATAGTAGGTGCGTGCACAGCGGCGCCAGGGAGGGATTTTCACCCAACTGGGTAGCATGCGGTGCCTAGTCGCTCGGCCTGGGCTCCCAGCTGCCGATCCCCGCTCCCCGCGTTCAACCAGCAGTGGAGAGCCTCACACAGACCGGAACTAGTGCGTGCAAGCTGCGGCTTACATGCTCTCCGTGCGGCAAGAGGTGGAAGAACACGACAGCTGTGCCCTTCTTGGGCCGTATGAGCACGTCGGCGTCGGCCGCGCAGCGCTCCTGTGTGTGTGTGTGTGTGTGTGTGTGTGTGTGTGTGTGTGTGTGTGTGTTTGTGTGTGTTGTGTGCCGTTGCATGGGCAGTGCACAGCTTTGAGGGTAGGTTGACACGGCTCGAGCCGTCAGCATTGCGGACCTGCTGCCTCCTGCATCCTGTCCCGCCGCTCCCGCCACCAGCTGGCGCCCCTGCCCCTAGTGCAGCAGATGCATCGCCAACTCTGCGGAGTCAGGGCCGCGGCGATCGGCGAGAAACAACTCACAGACAATCAATGACCCCAGATTTTTCGACACACACAAGGTCCCTGGATCGTGACAGGAGAGTGTGGCGTTCGCGTTGCGAGGCACTGCCTGCCACCCCACGGGCCACCCACCCCGGTCCAAGCGGCGTGCCGCCGGTAGAACGCCACCTCCCCGCCCTCCTCCACATCAGACAGGAAGAGCAGCACCCCGGCGCCGCGCGGGCCGCCGTTGCCAGGGTCGGCCGCCCCGCGGCTGCTGCGGGCGGGCGCGGCGCGCAAGGGACGAAGGTCGCAGGGTGGGCGCGGCGGTGGCCGGAAAGAATGCGAGGGTCCCTCCTTTGCATATGAGGACTCTGTGTCGTAGTTTGAACTTCGGCACCAAGCAGCAAGGCCCGTGCACCTGCATGCTGACACCAGCGCCCTGCCGCCACGCCTGGTGCAGCCCTTTGTGGATGCCCCACGGCAAGGCGGGCTCAGCCTTGGGCGACGCCCACTTGTCCGGTAACACCTTTGGTCAAACGCGGGTCAACACCCCGCAGCCAGCATTATGCGCCTCGATGTCAACACCGGTCAAACCGGTCAAACCCCGCCGTCAAACTGGTGCTCACAAGTAGTCAAAGTGGTCGCCGCTGTCCAGCCCCGCACTTGATTGCGTGATTTGGAAGGACTCCTGCCCGGCCAGCGGCATGCGGGTCACAAACTCAATACGCCGCTCCACGGCTGCGACGGTGGCGTCAGCGCCGCGCGGGAGCGCGGCGCTGCCGACGCCGCCGCCCCTGCGCTCGGGGCGGGGCCGCAGAGGGAGGGCGGTGGGGTGATGCGGCGGCGCGCTGGGCTTGGAGTGCCGGCGTGGCGCTTGATTTTGGGCCACAGGGAGATTGTCGACGGATAGGGACGCAGAGAGCCACACATGCACCCGCTTTGACGCCCCCTCGATGGCTTGGTGACACAGGCACGGGTGCCGGCTTCATTGATGGGGCCGCCCTGCTCACCGGTTGGCGGCCCGCTGCAGCTCGGGCGCCGCCTGACGCACGAAAGGGAAGGGTAGCATGGAGCCGTTGTGGCAATCGGCGCCCCGACGCTTGCTGGCAACACCGCCCGGGTGGACACAGCGTCGAGCACGGCCGAGCGCGCGCGGCGGACCCAGCAAACAACCACGAGCGCGGTGAGCCTCACCGTGCTGATAAGATGGTCCATCTCTGCATCACTCAGAAAGTTGTTGTACCTGTACATTTGACACGGCTTTCAGAGCACTCGGCAAGGAGACGCCGGCGCGCAACAGCGAGAAGCGGCGCACAGCGCGGCGAAGCGGGCGCACCGCCCCTTCTCTGTGCTCGCCAATGGCCTGCCGCTTGATGTCTGGCATGCATCCGTGCATATATGAAGCATTTCTGAAACTATCAGAGGAGCAGGCAGTGCCAGTGAGGTGTCGTCGAATCAAACCTGAACACTCGAGGCTTCCAACTGACCACCTGCATGTTGGGGGTCGTCCCGGAAGCTGCATACAAAGTCATGTTTCCAAACACTCTTTCCGGTTCAAAAGTCTCCCCAAGCCATCCAACTAGCCTGGGATCCGCTCGCACGACGACGAAGAGGGCGAATAGCAGTAATAGGCACATTCAATCATAAGCAATTAGAGACGTGTTGCTGTGAAATTCCAGCCGGGGCCACCAGCGTCTGCTGCGGACCTTTGAGCCAGAAAGCACAGGAGAACGCCGCAGCAGCCGCTGCGCTGCTGCCGCGCCCGCCATGCCGAAGGGCAAGTCAGCGCGCAGGAGGGAAAAGAACGCGAAGAAGGCAAACGAGGGCAACCTTGCCAAAGCGCAGGTGCGCATACAGCGCAAGTTTTCGCTGCCACCGCCACTGGCAGCCGCCGGCCTGCCTTGAGCAGCCAGCGAGCCAACGCCGGCCGCTGCAAGCACGCCAGGCGCAACTAGCACACCCTTCCTGACCCGCCGCCACGCCCTGCCCTGCTTCAACCGCAGCGCGGCAAGGCGTCTGCATTCTTGCCGCTGCCCAACGCCCCCAAAGCCGATGACTTTAAGGAGCGCGTGCCGCGATCCCTTCAGCGGATCATGGCCATGCGGCAGGTGCTGGAGAAGCAGCAGCAGGAGAAACGCGAGAGGCAGCAGCAGAGGGAGCAGCAGAGGCAGCAGCAGGGGCAGCAGGGGCAGCAGCAGGGGCAGGTAAAGCAGCAGCAGCAGGGGCAGCAGCAGGGGCAGCAGCAGGGGCAGGTAAAGCAGCAGCAGGAGGGGCAGCAGCAGCGGCAGCAGCAGCAACAGCATGGGAGTGCGGCAGCCGAAGGGGCGAAAACGGATGCTTCGGTCACTGGCGGCAAGAGGCGGCACGACGCGGCGCCTGCTGGGGAGCGGCCACACGAGTGGCAGGCACAGGAGCAGAAGCTGCAGCACGGCGATGATGATGGGCCTGCGAAAAAGAAGCGCAAGCAGCAGCAGCAGCAGCAGCAGCAGCAGCAGCAGCAGCAGCAGCAGCAGCAGGAGCAGCAGCAGCAGGGCGATAAGGACGGCCAGCAGCGGCAGGGGCGGGGCGGGAAGGCTGCCGCCGCTGCTGCGGCCGCGCTGGGGCCCTTGTGGGAGCAGCCGCGGAAGCTGAAGCAGCGCAAGAAGGACTACCTCAATCAGAAGAAGCTCAAAAAGAAGGGGAAGCTGCCGGCGCACTTGGTCGGAGTGCATGAGAAGGTGCGCGGAGGCTGCTGGGACAGACTCCCGCGGCATGCGCGACGCCTGGCCGCCACCCGTGCGGGGAGCCCAGCCGCCCGCCTGCCGGCGCCCCTGCTGCACCACTGCTGTGCGTCGCCGCCCCCGCCCGCGCCCGTGCCGCTCCCTGCCCCTTACCCTTGCGTGCCCTGCCCCTTACCCTTGCGTGCAGGAGCTTGCGCTGCGCGATGAGGTCAAGTTTGGGGAGCGCGTGGACGCGCCACTGCAGGTGCAGCTCAAGCGCAAGCACTGGGCGGGCACGGCCGAGGACACTGATAAGGTGCGTGCCCTGCTTCTTTCTTGCCGTGCGAAGGCCGCGCCAGGCCAGCCATTTGGTTATTTATCACGCACGACTTGTGGGCGTGCAGGGTGCATCTTGAGGGGATGGGCGTTTTCGGGGGCGGTGAGCTTGGCGTTGTTCGCGCCCGGCGTGTACATGCGTGCGTGTGCGCGCGTGCTGCTTACGAGGGTAGTCTAAAAAGGTGCGGGGCAATCGTCCTTGCTGCCGCCATCCCCCGCAGGCGCGCTGCACGCGCATCTTCGAGCAGCAACTGGCTGCGGCGCAGAAGCGGGCGGCGGGCGGCGACGGGAAGGAGCAGCGGCAGCAGCAGCGGCGGCAGCAGCAGCAGCAAGGGCAAGGGCAGGGAGGGCAGCGGCAGCCGGCGAAGAAGCGCAAGCAGCATTCGGCGGTGGGTGGGTGGGGTGCAGGCCAAGGGGGGGGAACGTGCATTGGCCACTCCTGGGGTGCTGCACGCAATGGATGCGTAATTGATGTGCCCGATGGCCATGTTTGACCCCTGGGGTGCCGGGGTGGTCGTCTTGTTTGTTGGGCTCGACCGCTCGTCAGGCCGGCTTGCGCTGATGCGCTGAGCTAGCAGCGATGCGCTGAGCTGGCAGCGCGGACGCGGCAACAGGCCCCTTTCACCATGCCCCCCTCCCGGCAGGCTGACGAGAGCGTGCGGGCGGCGGTCATCGACGCGTATCGTGCGCGCCATGGCACGCAGCCGCGCGAGGGCGCGGCGGACTTGTCCACGCTCAAGGGGTTGGTCGGCAGCGCCAAGGCGCCGTGAATTTGCGAACGTGCGCAAGGCATCCGTTTTGCTGCGACGCACAGTGTGTGCGCCTATGGGTCTCGTTGGGCGCGCTTGGGCCTTGCTTGATGGGATTGGTTACTTGTAATGCGGCTGCATGCTGTCGCGGCTGGCGCATTCAGCGCTGTTCCCGTCAGTTCACACCATCACTAGCGGTACCGCAGGGCAGCGACAGTGTGAAGCAGCGTCGACGCTCGTGCGTCGCAGCGACGCCATTGCGCAGCTGTCTGATGACAAGGTCGTGCGTATGTGACAGGGTGAGGCCAAGGCGGGCACGCTGTTGCTTGATCGATTGCACGGTGACCAGATTTTTTCGCGCCGCCTGCGTTTCATTACACTCGCGCCTGCGTCATGGCACATTGGATTCATCCAATTGATTTCCAAGTTTGCTGCTCGTTCAACATCGACGCCGAGCACCAAACTGGATTACAGCACGCGCAGTGTCAGCGTACCTAGTTTTCCTGTGAAAAGACTCGGAGATGATCAGCCGGAGCTGTTGAAATCTCGCCATGGACTGCTGAGGGCGTCGCTGTGCAGGCGGGGCGCGTAGCTGATTGCACGACTCCGGTCGTCAGGCTGTGCGGGCCTGCATCATGAAATGGTGAGGCGTTACTGATATGCGCGGCGAGAAGGCGCGAGGGAGCAAGGCCTTAGTGGGCTCTTTGGTCGCACCAGGAGCGCACTGGCGGGCTGGAACAGTATTAAGAGCCCCGGGCGTGTGACCAATTGTACGATACACATAAGGGTTGCATTATCTCGCGCGCCCTGTGGCGTGCCAGACCCACCCTTGGCTAAGAAAACGCCCACGACGCTACGCCACCAAGCGTCAGCGCGCAACCTGTGGGGCGAGCGCCTCTGCTCCTCACCTGTTGCTGGCGCACCCCGGCCTTAAAACCCCTTCGCCCTGCGCCACCCACCCAGCCTCTGCTCATCCCTAATGGACAGCATCCGCATGCGCAAGTC